TACAACCAGAATGCTCCTTGGAAGCGAGAATGGCCAGACTTTGTCACACCTACTTTGGTCATGTTGTCAGAAGGGCCCATTCCCTGGAGAAGGAGATAATGCTATGTAAAGAGGAGGATCAGTGAAAAGAGGAAGCCCCTTAACAGGATGGATTGACACGGTGGCTGCAAGATAGGCTCAAGCATAGCAAGGATTGTGAGGATGGTGCAGGACAGGACAGTATTCCATTCTGTTGTATGTAGGGTTGCTACAAGTTGGAGCCAACTTAGTGGCACCTAACAACAGCAACAACATTATCATTGCTGTGGTAACTGTTTATGGAGGACTTATCTGTGCTGAACGTCACTCTCAGGGTGTTCTGGGCAGCAGGTCATTTCATCCTCTTACAGCCTTGCAGGGCGGTGTACCTATCCTCGTTTTACAGGTCAGGAAGCTCCAAGAGCCTAAATACTTTGAGCAGCTGAGCTGGGCTTTGAATTCCATCCGAATACACCCCTGACCACCACGTTGGCAGAAAAGTCTTCTCTGCTTTCTGGGGGTCTTGAGTCGGAGCTCTTTATTATTGTCCCTCTTCATGGTCCTCCATCCTGGGAAGGGATAGAGGTGGAGTAGTTGAAATCAGGAAGGAATGTGACTTGGGCATCCTTGGAGATGCTCACGGAGTCCGTGGGGCAGATCCTTCCTTGGGGTTCAGAGTTTTGACCTTTTGCCTGTTTTTCTCCAGAATCTCCCTGGCATACCTGTTGTAGGCAGCGATGCCAGGATGCCTGTCTCTGCCTCCCTCCGCCAAGACGGCAGCCAGGAGCGACCAGTGAGCCTGACCTCCACCACCTCCTCATCAGGCTCCTCACGGGACAGCCGTGGGGCCATGGAGGATCCTAATGGCTCGGAAGCTTCAGCCGAGAATGGAGCAGGCTCTCCACGTGGCCGGCAACTCCCCAACAGCAACAACAACTCCAGCAGCTGGCGGAACATGAAGGGGCCTCTCTCTCCATTCAACAGCCGGGCCATGGCAGGGCATAAGCTCAGCTACCTGGGCCGAGTGGTGCGGGAGATTGTGGAAACAGAGAGGATGTATGTGCAGGACCTTCGCAGCATAGTTGAGGTGAGTGCTCGACCACCCACCTCCCTGGGGCTTCAGGGCTAAATGTGGAAGGAGGACTACCCATCTTTCCTCATTGGGCTCAGGGATTCCGGCCTCTGGTGACTCAGCTTTCCTGTATAAGCTTAATTTTATCCTGGAAAGCAAAACTCTCCTTAACACGTTTGTCTTTGAAGATCGGCTTTGCATGGAGTAGTATGGTGGCCTCCTATCTCTAGCTCTTGTTTCCTGCCCTTGTTAATGCCTCACACTCTTTCTGACTTTGGGTTTTTGATCAGTAGCCTGGGCCAAAAGAACTTCCTGCAGTTCCCCAGAGAGCAACCACATTTGATAGGGAGGGAGAGGGGCTCCAGCCTGACTGGGAGGAGAATAGCCACTAGAGAAGTTGTGCTCAGAGGAGACAGGACACAGTGAAGACACTGGATTTGGACATAGCCCCTTTGGCATCCAGATCCCTGGTCTGTTGTTTGCTGACTATGGGACCTTGGCATGTTGTGTAACCTGTGAGCCTCAGTTTCCTTGTTTGTTAATGAAGGCACACCCACCTTGCGGGACTCCTGTGAGGATTAAATGGGTTAATGTAGATGAAGTGCTTCACATTACTAGGCACACAGAAAAAGGGGACTGGGATTGCCATTGAGGAATGCCTTTAGCCCTTCTCAGGAGGTAGCTGATGTCTGTGAAATTGTATTCTAGCTGTGAAATGCAGTCAGAGACAAAAGATGTGGCTGGTTGTGGGGTAGGGGGCAGGACTCCAAGGCGAGGTGCTGACTTCCCTCTCTGCACAGGACTACCTCCTGAAGATCATTGACACGCCTGGGCTGCTGAAGCCTGAACAAGTCAGTGCCCTCTTTGGGAACATAGAAAACATTTATGCACTGAACAGGTATGTTATGTGAGTGGGCCTGACATGCACCTGGTTCTACACATAAGGCCCACTGCAGGGCCTAGGGAGGAGCCCTGGATGTCCCTGGACTCATATTGTGGCGTGTGGGCCAGGCCCGGTCTCTGAGGGGGTAGCAAAGTGTGGTCAGCCCCTACACAGCATTATAGTTCCCTGCAAGAGAGGACGGCACTAGCTGGACATACGGGCTGAGTGCTTCCTGTCAGACAGAGAGACATAATTTGAGGGCATGTGCCTTTGTGTCTACCTGAGCCAGCGCCTTCTCAGGGAAACTGCTGGACTCTTGCACACGGATGCTTTCCCCTCTTGGTGGCACCTTGGTCCCCCTCATCTTCCTTTCCTGTTTGTGTGTATCTTAATGTCTTCTCCACCTCACCGACCCCTGAGAATTCAGGGTTCCCTGGAGATGATCTGACCCACCAGTGGAATGTATAGGCCAGGCAAGATGTGATGGGGGAGCTGAGCATGGCCTGGCAAGGGCCTGCCTCTGACAGAGGTGCTTCTCTAGGCCCGAGTGTGCTGCCTCAGACCACAGACTTCCTAGGGATGGAGAGCTGGGTCAGAAGGAGCAGAACTTGAGGGGAGAGTGGTGATAGAACAGGTGAACCTTATCCTAGGGCCCCTTAAGGTGACAGATGGACCTCCTGCTGTGCAAATGTCAGAGGGTAGGGTGAAGGTGAGGCGTAGCCTGGATTAGGGGGTAGGGTCAGGGAAGGTTAGGGAAAGAGGAGGAGCACAGAGGGAGGAGGCCGAGGAGCATGGTTTCTAGGGTTGCATAGTTTCTCCATTTAAGAAAAGGGAACACAGGGACTCACCCCATCTCTCATCCTTTCTCACACCCTTCTGAATTGGGGGTCTTGGTTCCTTTGCAAGCCCCACTCTTTCCTTTCCCCTTTAATCTTTGCTTTTGTGTGTTTGACTCCTGTCTGCAGAGGAGCTGTGTTCCCGCCTAAGGTGGGTACTGGTGTCTCCTCTTCGTCCCTTGGTTGTGAGCATGTGTTTCTCCCTCCCTCTCTGACTTTGCGGTGATGCTCGATGTTTTCTGTGGTGACTGCCAAGGGGCAGGGTTTGCTCTGTGGGTGGAAGCCCCAACTCTCGAGCATGACAACAGGGCTGGCGGTGTGTCTAGCACGAGGAGGTGGGGAGAGGGTAGATGGCTGGCTGCTGCAGCCAGTTGGGGTCTGATGGCTGCTCTCCCCTCCCCCAGCCAGCTACTCAGAGACCTGGACAGCTGCAACAGTGACCCCGTGGCTGTGGCCAGCTGCTTTGTGGAAAGGGTAAGAAGGGCTGGGTCCTTGCTCCTTGTCCCATCTTCCTGGGAGTTCAGAGGGACAGGAACTCCATTAGAGTGTGTTTAAGAGGGCATCTGAGTCCTGAGGGTCCCTCTCTAGGGGGAGTGCCAGGTGCCCTGCCTTGAATGGGAAAGGTATTCTGGGGTGGAACAGAAGGCATGTCTTAGACAAATGGGTACAAAAATGAGCCTGCAGGCTCTAGGGGGTTGGGACAGGGTGAGCAGCATATGCTCTGTGGACCAGGGGTCTGTTGGTGGTATAACCAGGTTTATAGCTAAATAGAAGCTTCCTGAAATCACTATTTTGTTCTTTCCTAGAGCCAAGAGTTTGATATCTATACCCAGTATTGCAACAACTACCCCAAGTGAGTAATTGGGGTGGGGAGGGGAGCCTGAGGTATTTGGTGAGTCCATTACACCCTCGTTCCCCAGCCTGTCCCAGATGGTTATGGCCCCCTCCCGCCTCCAGCTCAGTGGCTGCACTGACGGAATGCATGCGGGACAAGCAGCAGGCCAAGTTCTTCCGGGACCGGCAGGAGCTGCTACAGCACTCGCTGCCTTTGGGCTCCTACCTGCTGAAGCCAGTGCAGCGCATCCTCAAGTACCACCTGCTGCTCCAGGTAGCCTGGGGAGCCCTCCTTGGGATGTGGGGGTGAGGTGAAAAGGTAAGGGGGCTGGGCCCTAGAGTCTGGGTTGCCTAAGCCCCTGTCTCCTGCCCAGGAAATCGCCAAACATTTTGACGAAGAAGAGGATGGCTTTGAGGTGGTGGAGGATGCCATTGACACCATGACTTGCGTGGCCTGGTACATCAATGACATGAAGAGGAGGCACGAGCATGCAGTTAGGCTCCAGGTGCTGCTGGGTTGGACAGCAGGAGGGAGACCCGACCCAGGGACTGGCGGGCAGGGCAAATCTGCTCTTGGGGAGAGGGTGAGCTGAAGGGTGGCAGCCCTGTATGGGACAGGTTTCTCTGGGGAAGCCCTTGGGCAGAATGTGTCTGGGGGACCCAGGCTATGACTGGCTCTGTGTAAACCCCTTGGAGAGCCCCATGTGGTTCCTAACAGGGTCATAAGCAGCCTGACCCTGGGGCTGGGGCCTTCTCTACCAGGAGATTCAGTCACTGCTCATCAACTGGAAGGGGCCAGACCTGACCATCTACGGGGAGCTCGTCCTGGAGGGCACGTTCCGTGTGCACCGTGTGCGCAATGAAAGAACCTTCTTCCTCTTTGACAAAGCACTGCTTATCACCAAGAAGCGGGGCGACCACTTTGTCTACAAGGGGCACATCCCGGTAACCAGGACCCTCCGCCAGCCCGGGCTCATCTCTCTGTTGTGCCTCCCAGCCTCTAGTGTTCTGAGAACACTCATCCTGCTTTCCCAGCAGTCTCGTGGGGATGGGCTCCATGCCCCAGCTTGGCCAAGCCCCTCCCTCACCTGCTTGCCTACCCTCTCCCTCTGCCCTAGTGCTCTTCCCTGATGCTGATCGAAAGCACCAGAGACTCCCTGTGCTTCACCGTCACCCACTACAAGCACAGCAAGCAGCAGTATGGCATCCAGGTGAGGGGCGGGCCAGGGGTTGTCTTTGCAAGGCCACAACAGGGACTCTAGAACCAAACACACCTGTGAGTGAATCCCAGCTTCTCCCTTCACTTAGCTGCACTAACCTCAGTGTCTCTATCCTTAAAATAGTATGTGCTCCTTAGGGTGTGGTGAGGAGTCAAGGCACCTTCACCAAGGCCTCAGCGCAGCCTGTCCTCCACCTCTGCCCTCCTTGGCAGAGATATAGTCCATACTGGCTAGTTTTAGGCCCTGTATTGATAATCCCTTAGGTTCCTTTCCTTTGGGTCCTCTCAGGCCAAAACAGTGGAGGAGAAACGGACCTGGACCCACCATATCAAGAGGCTCATCCTGGAGAACCACCATGCCACCATCCCCCAGAAGGTTAGTTCCCAGGTGGCCCCCTCCCTGGCTCCTGATGGGGCTGCAGGGAGAGGGCTTCCTCAAAGCTGGCTTGGAAGGGTCTGCTAGCGCTCAGTCTCTGGACTTTGATTCTACTGGGTGGTGGGCTTCAGTACAGTGATGCCTCAGCTCCGCTGGGTGGCAGGCGTCAGTAAGTGGATTCCTCGGCATGGTTCAGCACTATGGGTGTCACAGAGCAGCAAGAGTGAGTCCTGCGGCCCATGAAAGGCACAGAACATAGCATGGTGGTGACTAGCTGGGTTTCCTTCCCTTCCAGGCCAAGGAAGCCATCTTAGAAATGGATTCTTATTGTAAGTATGCTCTTCTCTGCCTATTTTGTCGCTAATTGTGTGCATCTCTAGGCCAGGCTGCATCCGGGGGAAGGGAGGATAGGGAGGCCCCTTTTGGCAGGGCTTGCAAGGCTGGTGGCATACTTGTCACCAAGGTGTGGGGCTCTCTGTCAGAAGCCCCCAGATGCCACTGATGTAAGATAAAAGAGGAGGGGACTCTGGAGCCTTCTGGTGCATGGACCTTGGGTGGGCTGCAGAGATGTGGGGAATGGGCAGAGTCCAGGCGAGGCAAGTCATAGGAAGACAAAGACTCAATTGTCTCTCTTGTGTGCAGATCCCAACCGATACCGCTACAGCCCAGAGCGGCTGAAGAAGGCTTGGTCCTCCCAGGACGAAGTGTCCACCCACATGCGCCAAGGGCGCCGGCAATCTGGTAAGGGAAGGCCCGTGGGGGCGGAGACATCTTCATAGTACCCTTGGCCAGGTGGGGGACCATCTACAGCAATGTCTCGGGCTGCTGCTCTCACTTCCCAGGGTTTCCTGGAAATCCTGGGAAAGGGCAGGAGGGAGGATCAGAGGGAGTATCGATGGAGCACCATCTGCCTGCCCCCGTGCTGCCCTCCCAGTAGGCACCTATGGGCCTTTCTTACCCATTGAAGTTGGACAGCTTTTCTTTTTCAAGCCTTGAGATACTTATTTACTTAGGTGTTAGGACCCTGTTTGGCTCCCTGCAATTTAAATCTCCTTCTTTTACCACCTGCAATATCTAGTCAGCTGGAAGTAACTGCTTAGACATCAAGAATGGTCCCCAGCCCAGTTCTGGAACAACAGAGCAGATACAGGACTTGGGAAAAACAAATTAGATTTCAAGGTGGCACCAAATCCAGACAGGAAATATTTACTTTGGTTCTCAGGACAAAGTTCCACTTTCCTCTCCTGGGTTTTCTTCCATTACTGAACTTGCTACTGTGTTCTTGGATTTGTTGGAATGAATGGTCTATTTAGTAAGAGAAAACTTGAATTTTATTCTTAGGTCTTAGGGTGAGGAGTGTGTGTTTTCTGATTTTACTCCCTATTCGGTCTGAGGTCCAGGGACAGATTTGGCCTAAACTGTGCTGCCTGTCAAATGTGTCCACACGGTGAGAGTTGAAGTGAGGACCGTCTTAAAGACCCTTGGGCTGAAACATTTTGGAGCGATTGAGAGCCATGTCCTGGCTTGGTTTTTCATAAGTGTATTGGGCTTTGATTGGCCATAACCTGTGTATCCCCTCAGTACCTGTGTAGACTACATTTTGGCTTTGGTCTTCTAGAAGGTGGAGCTGAGCAATCGAGAAAGGTTTTGTGGTTTTGTCTTTTATTGCTCAGGGTGGATCTTGAACCTGGACATATTTGTTATGGTTGCAAAAGTCTTTTGGTGCCAAAAGCTAAAATCTTCAGATGGGGGTGTTCCTTTGTAAGTCTCTGGCCCTCCCTAGTCCTCTTTTTTTTTTCTTCTTCTTCTTCTATAATTCTCTTCCTATCTCTCTCACATTCACCTTTGACTTACCATAGCTTAGAACTAGAAGTTTCTTGCACGTAGAAGTGTTCAATAAGTGACCACGGTGGTGATGATAATAGTAATACTGTCTGTCATAGTATCAGCATCACAATAGGTCTCCAAGCTTTCAGGAAATGAGCCATTTTAGAGAGCTGAAGCTTGCACGTGGCTGAGGCTTTGTAAACTAAAGGAGCTGTTGTCGGTAACCATTATTAAATAGATGTCTTTCTAAAATATGATTCATGCTCTTAAGTCTTTTAAAAGAGCTGATGCTAACCACAGTTGAACTTTTTTCTTAAAAGTTTGTGATCTTTTCTTTAAATGCAACCAGAACCACTATTCATTTCCAAAACATTCTCCACAGTTGAACTTTCCTTTTCCTAGTGTTGGTGTCCTGGCGTCACTCATGTATGTTGGCCACATTCTCCAGGGTTTCGGACAGGGGGCCATGGGTTACCACAGAGACAGCTTGCATTTGAGGTGTGTGTCCCTCCACACAGTTCTTCCCGCACACTGTAAAGAGTTCACTTTTGTTGGGCTGAGAATGTTGGCCTGTAGCAGCCCTTCTAACCAGTTGAGCTTGAAGAAGTGTGGTCACATAGTGACCATCTGTAGCTTGAGGGAGCTCTGAAGTGGGGGGCCTCGGCCATATGTAGGAGCTTCAGTGCCTGGACTTTGCTGACTACTCTGATTATTGAGAGGCCTTTTTCTGCTTCCTAATTTTAGAGAGCTAAGATGGACAAGAATTTATGCTATTAATAAGTGAGGGACTATTGTCATATCTGGGAACTCTGGTAGCGTAGTGCCTAAGGCACTTGACTGCTAACCAGAAGGCTGGCGGTTCAAACCTACCAGCCACTCCTTGGAAGGAAGATTGGGCAATCTACTTCCATAGAGATCCTGCCTCAGAAACCCAAGGAGGGATCACTATGAGTCAAATTGTCTCGATGACAGTGAGTTTGGTTTGAGTTTTATTGTTATATCTTGTCATTTAAAAAACATTCCTGATTTCAAGTTTTAAAGTGAAAGAGTAGAGCATATTCTATTTTTCTTACTTTTAAAAACAATTGGATGTTTACTTATAATGATGCAAATTGTGTGTGTGTGTGTATACACATGTGTGTATGTGTGCATATTTAGCAGAAAAAGTTGTCTTTGTTATGTTCTCCTGTGCAGGAATAGCTAAGGAGATCTTTCTAGACTTCCCTTCTGGCTCAAAGTTATACAACTTAGTGACCATCTGTAGGCCTCCCACCTAGTGCCAGGTGGGCTAGGTGGGGGCTCGGGACAGGGAGGTCCCCAAGACAATGTCCTCTTCTCTCTGCCTTCCACCTCAGGCTGGGTAAAAAGTGATACCATCAACCTAATGGATGTGTTTTGTATTCTGTCCCCAGAGCCTGGTCAGCTCCCGTACAGCCGGGCAACGCTCCCCAGTGGGCAGCGAGGCTTCATGGTGCCAGGCCTTGAGGGCCGTAGAAAGTCGGGTGCGACCTCTGCTTTCCAGCTGGGGTGCTATGAGGGGGCTTGGCTGTGGATGGAGCTAGCGCTTTGATGTACTCTTGCATGGGGGACATGGGGCTTGAGGTGGAGGCAGGAACCTCTGGACCCGAGGCTGATTGGTCTAAAGTGGGCAGCGTAAGGCTCTGTACTCCTGGGCAAGGTGCACTAATGCAGGGATTGTGGGCAGTGCTCCTGCAGGCTGGATCAAGTAGAGGTGGATGGGAATGGCCCAGCCCAGCTCTGTTGGGCAGGTGTGAGGGGACTCAGTGACACTGTGGTAGGCAGCCCCCTTCAGCCCCCAGGGCTGCTTGGGGCCAAGCCAGAGTGGACTTTGAGCTGTAATAGGTTGGCGGTGTTGTGAGCTTGGAACCAGGACCAACACAGCTGTTTCCTGGTCTTTCCTGACTCTGTCAACTCATTTTTCCTCCTCAGAGCCAACTAGACACCTGCTCAGGCAACTCAGTGAGAAAGGTGAGGGTGTGTGAGGGGGGTGGACAGCCATTCCCAGTGAGTTCTTAGATCTGGGTGGGGGGTTGTCAAGAACAGTTTAGAGAGACTGTCTCTGTTGCTCTTTTTTCCTTTGAGGAGAAAGAGCCTGGCAAGGGGCCCCCCACCCCCTTGTTTCCTTCGTCAGGGAGTGCCTTGAGCTAGCCTCCTCCCCCCACACCCACCCACACCTTGCATCCTGTCCTCAGACCTTCCCTCAAAAGCCCAGGAGACTGGATGAGGGCCCAGGGAGTAGGTGCCCCAGTGAGGCCTTCCTCAGAGGGCTCTGGACCTCTGTAGAGGGGCTCTTTCTCCTGCTTATTGGTTTCTTCTCCTCAATCCCTCTGCCTTATGTGCTGTGGACCCAATGGTGGTATCAACAGCCAGAGCAGCAGGACTGAAGGTAAGGCTCATGGGCACTCAGGGGCCAGGGAGGAAGAGCCTGGTGAAGGGAGAATGAGAGGGATTCCCTGGGTCCCTTCAGCAGTCATCATCTTTATTCATTCAGTATACACCTATCAAGCACCCGCTGTGTTCTAGGCTCTAGAGATGAATAAGACTTGGCCCCTGCCCCTGTTGACGCTTCTGTACCCTTGTCCTGGAACAATGCCCTGGTGGTGGTCTCCCAGCCTGGATCCTCTCTCATCCACCCTTCCCTTTGGGACAGGCAGGGCTTTTAGGGGCCTGAGTTCCTGATCAGGCCCCAGTCACAGTGTCTCCAGGTCCCAGCCCTCCCACCATGAGAATCCTGCTCCTTGCTGATCCCCAGTGGAGACCAGGGGTTGGGTATCTAGATACAGACTTCTGTATGAAGCTTCCCTACCCCCTACCATGGGCAGGAGGAGGGGAGCTTGCCCAGAGCCTGGTCACGAGGGGGTCCTGTGCTCTGAACAGCATGCAGGCAGTGCTGGCACTCTTCTGGACTTTGGGCAGCACCCTTGTACTCGGGTCCTGCAGCCAGAGGCAGAAGGGACTACCCAGGAGGAGCAAGAGGAGGAGGAAGAGGTGGTGGAGGAAGAGGAGGAGGAGGAGGAGGAGGAAGAGCAGGCCTTTCAGGTCTCTCTGGAGGACCTGGCTGGGCATGAAGGCAGCGAGAAGGGGGCTGGGCCAGAGCCCCTAGGCTCAGAGGAGGAGGAGGAGGAGGAGAGCCTGGCAGTGGCAGAGCAGGTAGCAGACTTTGCGAGCTCCCTGCTGGCCGCCCTCCACTGCTGGCACTATCGGGCCAACGCTTTACTTTTCTCCCGGGGCGCTATGGTGAGGTGTCTGTTTGATTTCCCCTCCTCCTTGCATGCTCTCTAGCACGTGCATGCCTGTCCAGAGCCTCCTCCCCCACCTCCCCCCAACCCGCCCCGCTACCCAGTTCCTTCACTCCTGCCGTCAGCAGTCTTAACCTCCTTACTCCCTGTTATGCCCTGGTGAGCCCTTGGCATGTGCTGCTCCAGAACTGGGCACTAACCAGTGTACTACCCAATAAGCATGACTAATGGGGTGGGTGGTGGAAGGGTCAAGTCCACTTGGCCTAGAAGGGAAGGTGGGTTCGGCTTTTCCGAGAGTGTAGCTGGAGACCACAGGCCTGGTGCAGGGATTTCCACGTCCCCAGGCCTGCTGTCCAGTTTGACTCTGGGATGGCTGAGATCCAAGGTTGACTCTTAGCACAGCCCGGAGTCCTCCTTGGGACCGGGGAGGGGCTGTGTGTTTTGGATGCAGAAGGTACCAGCTCCCAGTTGTCCCAGGAGCTGATGACTGTTTCTATTGGCTGCAGGGGAAGGGCCGGAGGGAGTCTGAGGGCTCCAAGGGCTGCAGAAGGCCCAGCGTCCGGTCTCCAACCAGTGCTGAGAAGCGCATGAGCTCCGAATCTGTCTCTTCCCTGCCAGAGGTAAGCAGCTGCTGAACAGCCAGCAAGTGGAAGGGGCATGGTGCCGCTATAGCTGGAACCCAGGTCTTCAGGTAGGAGCTACAGGCACAGGTTCTCCTGTTGGGGCCCTGGGAAGAGGGATTCCCCTGTCCTGGGACTCTCGCTCTTTCAGGAAGCCTGTCTGGCCTATGGGCACAAAGGTTGGTGAGCAGACAACCTCTGTTTATGAATTACAAGGAGGTACCCTTTCTCTGGGCAGATACAGTCCCATGCTGAGGGGCACAACTAGTGGAAGTGAGCTAGATTTCACACCCTTTCTGCCAGACAGCTTGTATAAGACATGAGGCCCTGTCCCCAATAGTATGCCAGGCATTTAAAACGCGCCTGTGCCCACCTGGACAAAGAGGTATAGGGTATTGCTGTCTGCTGGGCATCTTCTGTATGTCCTCATTTTATTCTTCTCTTCCATCCACCACCACAGCCCTGGAAGGGAAAAAGAGGCTCAGAGAAGTTGAGTGGTTTGCCTGATATTGGGTGGCTTCCAAGGGGTAAACTGAGGCTAGACGTAGACCATGACTTGGGTCCATAACTCAGAAGCCCCTCTCTTCCCACTATCTCACACTGCCTGTGGGCTGTAAGGAACTGACTGAGCCTTTCCAAAGTTATAAGGAAGGGCCATGAGGCTAAGGCTGGGTTGCAGGTGGGCCCCTCAGCCAGGACCAGATTGAGAAACCTAGGTGACACTGGATAAGAGCCCAGAGCAGAGCTCTCCAATAACCTTAGAATGTGAACCTCCTGTGTGAGTTTAAATTTTCTAGTAGCCACATTAAAAATTTTTTAAAAAAAAGGGGGTGGTATGAGATTAATTTTGCAGAATATCTCAATTTATCCAAAATATTGTCATTTCAACATGTAATCAATACAAAAAGTCACTGGTGACAGATTTCATATATATATGTAGGAAATCTTTGCGATCTGGGTGTATTTTACTGTTAGAGCAGGTCTCATTTTGGACTAGGCACATTTCAGGGGCTCAGAAGCCCTGTGGCTTATGGCTGCTGTCTTGGGTCTACAGCTCCAGATCATGGGTCCTACTTTGCAGCTTTTGGAAGAGAACAAATGAGATTGGGTCTCACTGCTCAGAATGTAGAGCACTTGCTTTTTTATCTTCTCTCCAAAGACCTGTCTCAAATGCTGCCTCTCTTGGCCACTTTGATGGTTCAAATGGCCTTCCAGGTGGTCAGGAGGGAATCCTCAAACTTGTTTTCCTCCCTGCCCCTCTGGCTGTGTGTATGCAGAGTTGGGCTGTGCCCACAGACTCCATGGCTGCCTGGTGGGATCCTAGTCCTCATCCGGTGGCAGGATTGCAGAATGTGCTTACATTGCCTTCAGGATTCTGAGCCATGTGGGAGGCCCTGGGCCTGCAGGGAAGTTGGGACCCCACCTCTCATGTTGCTCCTCATGTGGGGGAGCCCCTAGGGCTTTAAGGAGCTACCTCAGCATGGACAGAAGCGTCCTTATGCCTTGGCTCTGTGAGGTGCCTTTACAGAAGCCCCTGAGAGACTAGGGAAGTGCCTGACCTATGTGTGTCCCCACCTTGTCCCTGTAGTTCCCAGGCAGGCTGCCACTGAGAGCAGCCATCACCCTATCCCATCCACACTCCTAAGATTTTCCTTGGGTTTGAGGACATGGCCTAGTGCTCCAGCTGCAGTGTGACAAAGGGACTTGATCATATTCTTCTCCCTGAGGACCTGTTGCCTACTTTTGAGTCACGGTCATGCTCGTAGCCTCACTCCTAGACGACAGCCTCCCTCATTGGGCTTTGAGAAGGCCGTGTTGTTCCGTCATCCCCTGGATCCCTTGAGGAAAGTTTTCTGCTTACATGTGAGTTCTCTGTGTTATGTCCCAGGTTGAGCCAGACACTGAGCCTGGGACAGAGCAGGAAGTATTTGTTGCCATGGAAGATCCCAGCACTGAGGAGATGCCGTCTGACACGGAGTCTCCGGGAGTTCTGGAAACAAAGCTTGAGGCCCACCAGGGGCTGCTAGAGATGGACCACATGAGTGACATGGTGGACTTTGTGGTGGCTGAGAGCTCCGAGAATCTTAAGGCCCTGAGCAGTGAGGAGGAGGAGGAAGAGGAGGAGGAGGAAGAAGATATGGGGGCAAGTCAGGAGCCTGAGAGCCTCCTGCCACCCTCTGTGCTGGACCAGGCCAGTGTCATTGCTGAGCGCTTTGTTAGCAGCTTCTCTCGGCGGAGCAGCTTGGCTCTGGAGGATGGCAAGTCCAGTGGCTTTGGGACCCCAAAGATGGCCAGCCGTAGCAGCAGCATGCTCAGCCTTGAGGGCAGCGAGAAGGGCCCAGCCTGGCATGGCAGCATCACAGACTCGCTCAGCTCCCAGCTCCCAGGAGAGGTGGACATCAGTGTGGGAATGGCTACAGAGAATAGCCCATCCATCAATGGGACAGAGCCCCTAAACTCGGGCTGCCCAGCCGAGCCTGACCAGTCCCTCTGCAAGAAGAAGGAACCATTGCTTTCCACTCGAGACAGGCTATTGCTGGACAAGATCAAGAGCTACTATGAAAACGCCGAGCACCATGATGCGGGTTTTAGTGTCCGGCGCCGGGAGAGCCTCTCCTACATCCCCAAAGGGCTGGTGAGAAACTCAGTCTCTAGGTTCAATAGCCTTCCAAGGCCAGACCCAGAGCCCATCCCTCCGCTGGAGCACAAGAGACAGGTGAGCTCCCGACCAGCTTCATGGGCCCTGTTTGATCTCCCAGGACCAGGCCAGGCATGCACTGGGGACCCAGCCCCCATCACAGATGCTGAGTTTCGTCCATCTTCGGAAATTGTGAAGATGTGGGAGGGCATGGAGTCTTCTGGGGGGAGCTCTCGGAAAGGGCAGAGCCAGGCCCAAGGCCAGGCAAATGGCTTTGATCTGCACGAGCCGCTCTTCATCCTGGAAGAGCATGAGCTGGGTGCTATCACGGAGGAGTCTTCCGCTGCCTCCCCAGAGAGCGCCTCCCCAACCGAGCGGTCTAGCCCAGCCCACTTGGCCCGGGAGCTGAAGGAGCTGGTGAAAGAGCTGAGCGGTAGTGACCAGGGGGAGCTGGTGGCCCCCCTACACCCCCGCATTGTGCAGCTTTCCCACATGATGGACAGCCACGTGAGTGAGCGTGTCAAGAACAAGGTCTACCAGCTGGCCCGCCAGTACAGTCTTCGGATCAAGAGCAACAAGTCAGCAACAGCCAGGCCACCACTGCAATGGGAGAATGAAGCTCCCGAGAGCAATGGGAAGAACGCCACCATTCCCTGCCTGAAGGAGGAGGCTGGAGAGCCATTGAGTGGTAAAGGTATGACTTGAGGCAGTGAATGGGCCCTTCCCTCACAACTTAGGAATCGGTTTGCTCCTGGGTTTTGACCTCTAAGGAACCTCAGCCAAAGATGGGGCTGGACCCCGGGCGACCAAAGGGGTAAGGTGAGCACTTGTGTCATGGCAGTCAGTCAAAGTTAGACAGTCTAATCTTTGAGCCCTGCATGCTGGTTGAACGCTTTCACCACCTTCCCCCAGCCCTTCCTGTGGAGCAGAGGCCTCTGGAGGAAATGTGGCCATGGTTCCCTCTTTACCTGGAGACGCAGGAGCTCTTGTCTTCTCTGATTCTCAGCCCCATCTACGCTGCCTTTTCTTCATTCTTCCCATTGTGCTTTGATAAAGGGACCCTGGATGGTACATGAGATTTTTCTCTCATCACACTCAAAAGCCCAAGACAGCCTTGCCCACTAAGTCCAGGGCCCTTGCTTGCCTCTCTCTCCCTTCCTGCCCAGTAACTCAGGCAGCTCTCCTTCCCTCACAGGTAAGAGAAAGCTCCTCAGCTACGAAAAGATGGCAGCCCTCAGCTCCCCCAGGCACTGCTATGCTGGCGACATGTCACTACAGCATTTCTCCTTCAGCCCCTCTGCTGCCAGCCCCAGGACTACCTCACCTGGGATCCGGTCCTCAGGCCGAAGCCCCCTCAGCCCTTTTGACACAGAGACCTTCAGTTGGCCTGATGTCCGAGAGCTGTGCTCTAAGTATGCCTCCCACGATGAGGCACTCCTGGAGGGTAGCCGGCCCCGCGGCGTGCCCATCAACCGGAGCCACTCGGTGCCCGAGAACATGATGGAGCCACCCCGGCCAGGCAGAGTGAGCCGCTGCTCCAGCCTGAACACCAAGAAAGGCCGGGAAGGTGGGGAGGCCGCCCAGCCCCGGCCCCCTGGGTCCCCGCAAGGTGGGCTGGACGGAGGCCAGACCTTGTACGTCACAGCGGAACTCACTCTGGAGAATAACCGGCGTATGATTGTCATGGAGAAGGGGCCCCGGCCTGAGGGGCTAGTGGAGGAGGGCAGCGGGCAGGGACTGAGCCTGTTGACAGCTGGGGTGAGACCTAGCCAAGATTTGCAGGAGTCTGCAGAGTATTGGTCAAAGGAAGAGGGGCCTAGGGACCCAGCTGATGCAAGCCAGCAGGGCAGAGTGAGAAACCTGAGGGAGAAATTCCAGGCCTTGAACTCTATAGATTGACTGTGACTGTTAGGGGGAGTGAAATGGATAAAGAACAGAACCTCCACATACTTCCTCCCAAGCCTGAGTCTCCCTGGCTCACAGGGCCCTCTACTCTCTCCTGAAGAACACATCTGTGTCCAGGTGTCCTCAGCAGGTGCCCGTCCTCACCTGCTGCCTGTACTATGCACTGGCGCTCCCCTGGGGCTTGGGACAACTTTCCACAGGCCCACACAAGATGTTTGTCCCCCTCTGAGGTCACTGTGTCAGTGTCCCTTTTGTATAGTTCTTTTCTGGTAAGAACCCACATATTTAAGCTTACCTCTTCCCAGGGAGAGAGAAGCACAGCTCAGGCCTCCAGCATTGGCTGGCCATTGCCGGACAGAGAGGCCTACCCAGGGGAGATGTGGCAGGTGGCCTGGGGAGGCTTTGCTCTTTAACTGGGCCTATTCTTAGAATCCAGGCAGGAACGAGGCCAATAATTTATTGCTTTCCATTCTGTGGTATGTTTGTATACCTGTGCATGTGTGTGCGTGATCGTGAGCTGCTTCTGTTGTTTGTTCCTCTCCTGTTAAGAATGTAATTGACTCAGTTCAGGTACTTTTGAGGGTTGTCTGGCTGCTCTTGTGGTTGTCTCTAATGTACACACATTTCATTATTTGTCGATGGTGCAATAACCACTGCTGACCAACCAACCTGTGTGGCCTTCTTACTGGGGCCAGGGTGGGAGGGTGGGGTCCATGGACCAGGGCTGGGACATAGGAGCTATTGCTTTCGCATGCACTCATTTGTCATCCTTGCTTAGGAAGCGTGAAGCACTCGGCACTTGTGGGAGGTGGGCATGTGGGAAGGAACCTGTTCTCTGCTGCCCCCACTCCTATAGAATACTCTATCTTTCACAGCTCTGAGGGCCTCTTTGGGCTGGCGCAGCTCTGGTTCTTTTCCCAAGAGCCAAAGCTGGACTTTGAAAAAAGTGGGGTGTATGTGTGTGTGTGTGTGTGTGTGTGAACAGAACATTTATTAATAGGTAGAAGTTCCCAAAGTCTGGCACCTTTTATTTTCTCCCTTTCCAATTCCAAGACACCTTAGAAGACAAGGATTCTTATCTTGTAGCCTAGAAATGTCTTAAGGTGGCATGCAACATTGGGTGAGGGGTACACGTGAATATTTCTGGACGAATCTTTAGTTTTCATCCAATTCCCTAAAGGATCTTTGATTCAAAAGGGCCAGGAATCCCTCATTATTTCTTACTTGGTTTCCTGCCTTTTTGCCATGATAGACCAGCCTTGTTTTGCCTCATTTCTTGAAGGTGGGTGGAAGGGTGTGGCTGCAGTGCTCAGGAAGTAGAGCTGCCCCATGGATGTTCCCACAGACCCACTGGGTCAGGGCTTTGTGGGTCTCACTCTGTAGATGGATCCATTGAATCTCACAAGGTCAAGGAAAGATTTGAGGAGGGTGGAGTTCTTTCCCCAGCAGACACCGAACAGGGCAGAGCCAGCTGGCCTAAATGTTCTGTGGTCACTTCAGCAGACTGAGGACTGAACTATCACACTGGAGTGAGAGTTGGAGACCCAGGTTCTCAACAAGTAGCTGGGTCACCTTAACTCTACTGCTCTTTTCTCATCTGTAAATCCAGGGGTAGATGAGTCCCTGCTTCTCAGGCTCCTTGACTCACTCAGACTCTTCAGGGTGTAGGGCTTGGGAAACTCTTAACACCTTCCCCAGGTAATCCATATGCCACCATCCAGCCATATCTGGGAGCCTTGGACCAGTCAGTGGTTCTCATTGGTTGCCCATTAGGGGAGTTTTAAAAAGTGACGACGCCCAAGCTCCACACAGACCAAAGGAACCCACCCCTCTGGAAATGAGACTCAGTATGGGAGCTCTGATGGCCAGTGTGGGCCGCAACCAGGCTTACATGATCTCTGCCTGAGGTCTGTGAGGAAAGGCAAGGTTTGATCTTTGCCTAGAAAAGTTTGCCCTGAAGCAAGCCCTCAGGTTGGATGAATGCATGAATAAGTGAGCTTTTCTCAGGTAAGGCACAGGGCCTGGGTACCAGTGGAATCATCCCATAAGACTCCCAGGGACAAGTCTGGCTGTCCCTCTGTCAACCCAGGACCTTCCTTGCTCATTCATCCCCTCCCTGTGTTCAACCAGCCCTTGATGAGTTCAAAGAGAGAGAAACAAAAACCCAAACCAGTTGCCCGTTGAGTGGTTCCAACTCACATCCTCCCCGTGCATGTCAGGGTCGGACTGTTCCTTACGATTGTCAATAGCTGTGATCTTTCCAAAGCAGGTTGCCAGGCTTTTCTTCCAAGGTGCTTCTGGGTGGATTCAAACCTCCAGCCTTTCCATTAGTCACCAAGCACTTAACCATTTGCACCACCCAGAGACTCCAAAGGGAAACAAGGGCTAGTCAAATAAGAAATCACAAGAGAAATGTGGAGCATTACTGATTTATTAGAAAAACTAGTAAATGGGTTTCCTCTGGTTGGTGGAAGCACGTTTGAGCAGGTGGAGGGCAAGGCCCAGCCGGCCCCAGGGCCAGCCCAGATTACATGGTCTGTGTCCAATAGGGCTGCACTCCTTTTCAGCCACCTCCTCCCTCGCGCCCTCCCTGAGCTTGCTTGTCTAAAGATCAAGCCATGTGGTCCGCTGGCCTCTTCCTCCTCTGGATCTCCACCGCTTCCCACTGAGGGGAGAAGGGAGATCCAGGAACAGCCTAGGGGACCCCAGTTGCCCTCCGATAGGCAGAAAGGAGGAATGGCGTGGAGGGGAAGCTGAGCCTTCCACAGGCCTGTTACAGGTGCTACTGGGAGTGGGGTCAGGAGAGGGAAGCCACAGGACCCTCTGTGCCTCTCAGCCAGAGTCAGCCGAGGCCAGGGGACAAAGGAAAGGAGAGGGAGAGGGAAGGCAGACCGCCTGACCATGCCCAGAATGAGCTTCCTCTAAACTGCCCTGGGGAGGAAGCCTATTATGCTGGTGCGATTGGAGTGTGTCAGCCTAGTCTGGGAATACTGTTAAGACTGCAAAGTAGAAAATGTAAGGGGGGAAGAAAAACTTTGCCAGGGTACCAAGAGCTTAGCCCCAGGGTGGCACAGGGCTGCCCAAAGCTGGCCACCTGCTATTTCAGTCCAGTTGAGGGTCTTGGGACCCGTGTCTTGGAGGGGTGTGTGGGAGTGGATGGTGGGTCACATGCAGCTGGCTGCCCTTTTGGGGAACTGGGGTGGAGAGATCTTAACACTTCATTGGGGCCTTTTCATTCTTGGGTCTGTGGGGTTTCCTGCCGGAAATTCAGGTGCCACTTTGGCCCACATGGAGGGGAGAGAGTGGCCCAAGGCTAACCCAGGGAAACGGTCAAGGGAAGTGCTTGCCACCATCTGCCCTTCAGCAAGAATTGTGCTCTCTGCCCCCAAAGAAAGACATGCCCTTCAGTGTACCAAAGGCCTTCCTTATTGGCCTATGCTTTGGTTTCCCCACGTGTAGAAAGAGGCTCATGAATGGTACACACTAGGCTCCACGTGGATGCAAAAAGAGCAGCTAGGTGAGATGTGTTGAGGCCAATGAAGACCCTGGTTAGAGATGGGAGCACCTGCTCCAAGTAAATCAGGCTCCATCAGATAATGTCTTCCCTCCTGTGGTTCCTGTCTGCTGAAGTTGGCTTTACCCTGACGTAGTGTCCGGCCACAGAGTGATGTTGATCTCTGAGCTGCACCTGTACTGATCTGCACTAGCTAAGTGTTCTTGAGCTGGCTGGCCTTGTAACACTAGGCACCTGTCTCTGTGACTTCTAAGAGCCTCATCTACTTCCCAGTGAATCAGCTAAGGGTACCCAAAACTCCTTCCCGTGGGAAAGGTGATGGAAACAGCTACTACAGGCTCCTGCCCTTTCAGGTTCCCAGCCCCAGAGATCTCTGTAGTCTCTGGTGAAGATGCCTGCTATACCCAACATGACCAGTCTTTTGGATCCAGCCCCAGAATATGTTGGGCTGGAGCTGTAATGCTTTCAGAGGGAAGTGGTGGGGAAAATCATGGAATGAGTGGTCTTTCCAGTGGTCTCCTTAGCAGCACAAAGAAAGGTATTCCTGGTGCAGCAATTTCCTTTTGGCTGTGCTTGGGGATGAGAGAGAGGGTAAGTGTTTGGTCACCTCTGCGCCCATGTGATCCCCAAGATCCAAGGCCAGGACCTTCAGGAAAAGCTGTCACACCATGGCTCTGGCTCCAGCATTTGTCCTAGTGGTCCAAGGGTAGTTGTGTCACATGGATGGTGATGCCATCTACCCAGGCATGCTGTGTTTGCCACTCCTGGGTGATGAGTGATAAGCTTTGCTGTCTGTCCAGCCAATACTCTAAGATGGTATAGCTGCAGACAGGACACAGGTGGGTATTTGACTTTGGGCTGCTTTACTCCGGGTGTTCAGAAGGTCTGGCAATCTACCTCCAAAAGGTCACAGCCTTGAAAACCCTACGGAGCAGTTCTACTCTGGATACACGGGGTTGCATAAGTCAGAATCAGCAACCAACAACAACTTCAGGTGGTGGGGTTTCCATCTTGTGTCTGGGGGCCTGCAATGTCTCCCTAACAGGCCTTGGGTCTGAGTCATATATTGCTGGTTTGGCTGCTACTGGATGTCAGGGGAGGGACCCAGAGTTGAGAGGCAGAGCCTTAGGCAGTGTCATGACCTATCTGTCCCTTCTTTAGATCTGAGCCCTGAACCCTAAGCTCCAACCACAGTTAAAACAGGGCTGGCTGGAGAGCTTTCTGGTCCTCGCTTCCACTACCTGTGGT